CTCAGACCCCCAATCTGGGTCGTCGCTCCATCCCGAGAAAGGTTGTCTCCTGTCTTTTCTCAACATTGGCCTCATGGGCGAAACACGGGAACGTTACAAAACCGTGGGAAAGTTTTCCAGTCACAAAAGCAGCAAAGACTCTCTGGAGATCCTGAGGGGAACCCGAAGCACAAAAGCCACAGACCTTCCCACGACCAGCCAAACCCAGCTGGGTCAGGATCCAAGTGGCCCCCAATGAGCTCTGCCCCACAGAAGCTGAAAGGGGGCACAGCTGGAACTTGTGTGGGCTAGAAGCTCTTCCCTCTTTGGGGGGCCAAAGTGTGGCGCCCATTCATCCATTCAACCTGGACAAAGGCTCAGCTGAACCTCAAATGATACTTTCTAAAGAAACGCAAGAAATTAACTTAGGAGTAAAGGCCACGAACCTTCACGGGCAGTCGAGAAGCCGGGAGGGGAGGAGAGGGGTGGGCGAAGGCGCCCCGGGGGAAAAGAAACAGCCGAGGAGAGGAAGAGCCGCTTCCTACGTCGGGCAGCCCACCTTTTCGGAGCGGCTCCTCCGCTGCGCCGCGGCGGGGAAGCTCCAGAGGGAGTCGGAGCCCGCCGCGCGCGGGATTTCCCTGCGGGGACATCGGAAACTTCTCGGCTGCTCGGGGGAAGGAAGGCGAGGAGCCTTAACCGCTCCCAGGCTCAGGAAGGGGGGAAAAACGCCCGCGCCGCACGTGTGCGGCATCCCAGCCGGCCCCTCCAAGGAGCCCGCGCCCCCCACGGCCGAGGCAGACCCCCCTCCCCACACACACACCGCTCCACTCACCCGAGGAGAGCGCCCTGCAGGAGCAGGAGGGGGACTCTCCCCCCGTGGGCCCGGGCCATCCTCACGAGGCCAAAGGGGCCGCGGCCGAAGCGGGTGGACGGCGAGATTCGCGGGGCTGCGAATCCGGGGGCTCGTGGGGTTCTCCAGTCCGGGGAGACGGGCGAGCATGTCCCGCTGCTCTGTTTCCACGCAGGATTGGGCGACGGCGGCGGCGGCGGCGGCGGCAGCAACAGTACCGAACCGAGGCGTCCGGACTTCGGCCAAGCCGGCCTTGCCGGAGCCCGAAACGCTTGGCTCACTTCTCCCCGCCTCCAGCAGGGAGGGCGCTGCCCACCCACGCGAAGGACAGCCCCGACGGTCGACGCTCGGCTGCAGGTTTGGCAGCCTCCTTCCGGGAGCCCACGCCGGGCTCCTTGGCGGGCGCTCAGCCTCGACGACGCCCGCGGCGGCAAACTAGACAGCAGGGGTAGGTCCAGAGCGCCGCTTCTTGCCCGGCCCGAAGGAGATCGCGCGGGCAAGGCTTCCTGAAGCCCCCCCACCCCGCAATTCGGAAGACCGAGAAGGCGCCTTCGCTGCTGGCTGGCGGGGCACCAGCGAGGCTGTGGCGAAACTCTTGGTTCACCTCCCAGGAGGAGCGCGGGATCCCCGGAGTCCCGCCTGACCGAAGGGCTCAAGCGTCCCCGGCGGAGCGGACGGAAGAATCTCTCGACTAGACCGTCTGGAAGGCTTCTCTTCCCTTTCCACACGTTTCGTTTGCCCGGGTGGTGGACGGACCGTCTGAACACAGTGGCTGCCTTTTCAGTGCCAAAACCCGAGTCCAGAACTTCCTTTCCCTCGATCCCTTTCTGATGTCCTGCTGTGTTACTCCTTGTCTCCTTCAGCTTCTCCACTGCTCAGCTTAAAGTTCCCTAGTTGAAACGAAGAGAAACGGCAACATATACAGCTGGAAGACTCTTCCTTGTCACCCCTGGGGAGTAAAACGTCCAGACGTATCTGCTTCCAGGCTCCTTCAAAATAGAATAGCGTGGCCCATTCCAGATATCTGAAGGGAGCTGATTCTCAGCCTGTTTCGTTTTGGGAGGGCTGAGCCATTCGCATGGGCGGGGGCCGGTGCTCTGGCAGATTGTGCCGAAACATTGGTCAATTCTGCCAAGGATATTGCCATGCTGCTAATGTATGAAGGTGCAACAGCCTTTCTAAGAGGAGGGAGAAGCGAGCCACGCCCACCCTTGGAGAAGGACCGTGACGGCAAACCTATGCCAGAAGTGGCACCCAGAGCCCTCCTTGTTAGGATGCCGCCAACAGCTGGTGTTTTGGTTTCTGGCTGGTCTTTGAGGATGCTGGAGCACCAGAAAACAGCCTGAAAACAGCCCCAAAACGGCCTGAAAGTGGCGCAGAAAACCACCTGAAAACGGCCAGCTGGAGTTTGGAGTTTATTCAATTTGTAGGCCGCCCTATTCCCCGAAGGGACTCAGGGCGGC